TGTTTCTATTGCTGTTCTTTCTTTCGCTTCCGAGATTCTCTCTCTCTTAGTTTACGTCCTTCCCGCCCTCCCTCCCCACCCCACCTCCCCATTGTCTCTCTCTCTCTCTTCTCTCTCTCTTTGATCTCTCTCTCTCGTCAGTCTTCTCTTTATCAGTGTCTCTCTCTCTCTCTCTCTTTTCTTTCTTTCATCTCACAGGAACACCTCCTACCTGCTCTATCTCTTTCTTTCTCTTTCTGCACTCTCTCTCTGCTCTCATTCTGCTTCCGTTTCCTTTTCTCCCTTTCTCTCTCTCTTGCTCTCTCTCATTCTTTCTCTTCGCTCGCTCTCTCTCTCCTTCATCTTCATCTCTCTCTTTCTCTTCTTCTCATCTCCATCTCTCTCTCTCTCTATCAACCTTCATAACCTCATTTTTCTTTTTTCGTCGTCTCTCTCTCTCTCTCTCTTCGTCTTGTCATGGTACTCGCCTCCAGTTGTTCTTTGGTATCAATTATCGTAAACTGTCGCCATTTGCTCACTCTCAATCTTCCGAGCGCGTTTGCACGTGATCAGGGGTTATCTTGCTGGCACGTAAATTTCGGTAATTTCAAGCCTGCCCGGTTTCCCCACGCCGCAGCCGCCGCATTATAACAAAAACAGTGTAGAAAGCGGCATATAAGTCGCCATCAACCACGCGTAAAGCGGTCAAAACGCAAGACACGTGAAAATGCGCGCCCTTCTCCGTCTGGCCGCATCGAATGCTTGTCGAAAGAAGTGGCGATCCTTTCTTCGCTGCGGAGTGTAGCGCGACGCAGGCGGGAGGGAGGCGCGACGGCGTCTAGCATGCTAACTAAGGCACGAGTGAAGGAGGCAGCGGCACACGTGATGGGGATGCGAGACAATGAGTCCCGGCCGACTATTGGTTTCTCTCGCCCGCGGTTCTTGGCTGCTTGTTCATAAAATACGCCACGCGACAACGGTAACACGCGCGACGCAGCGGACGACACACCACACACACACACACACACACACTCGAGCACAGTTTAATTTAATATAAGCCATAATTAGTAATAATTCAGTAATTGTGATAGGACAGAACGATAGCGAGAGGGAGAAAGAGAGAGAGAGAGAGGAGAGAGAGAGAGAGAGAGAGGAGGAGGAGAGAGAGGGAAGAGAAAGGGTAAAGAGGAAGATAGACAATGAGAGGGGAGGGAGAGGGACAGAGAGAGAGAGAGAGAGAAACAGAGGAGAGAGAAGCAGCAAAGAGAGAGAGAGAGAGGAGAGAGAGAGAAGAGGAAGAAGAAGGGAGAGAGAGACGACAAAAGTATAGATAGAGAGGAGAGAAGAGAGAGAGAGGAGAGAAGAAGAGAGACAGACAGACAAAGGAGAGAGAGAGAGAGAGAGAGAGAGGAGAGGGAGAAAGAGAAAGAAACAGATAGGGAGACACGAAAGAGAGAGAGAGAGAGGAAGAGAGAGGAGAGAGAAAGAGAGAGAGAGAGAGAGAGAGGGAGGAGAGAGAGAGAGAGAGAGAGAGAGAGAGAGAGAGAGAGAGAGAGAGAGAGAAAGGGGAAGAGACAGCAATAGAAGAGCATGTGGTGATTGAGGTGCAAAAAACAAACGGCGTTGTAGTTTTATCGCACAACAAATCATATAAAAATAAATTATATAAACTTTCTATGAAAGTGCTTCTATGTTTTCGCGTCTCGACTTTTTCGCACGCACGTGTGCGTGTACATACATACTGGTAGGATGAAACGAAGCGATTAATAACCCCAGACAACGGAGCCGATTGTGTGCTTTCCCTCTTCGTCTACTAACGGATCTCTTGCGAGAGAGACAGAGAGACAGAGAGAGAGAGAGAGAGAGAGAGAGAGAGCAAAAGAGTAAAAAAGAAAGCGAGATCGAGAGAGCAAGAGAGAGAGAGAGAGAGCAAAATAGTAAAAAAGAAAGCGAGATCGAGAGAGCGATCGAGAGAGAGAGGGTGATCATGAAAGAGGGTAGACACACTCTACCTGCCGCTCTACGAGTGGTGCAGTGGAGGAAGATAACTTACGTGAAATGGCGGAGTGTGAGTACAGTAGCACGATGGTCAGGCACACGTACGCCATTCTGTTGCTCTCCACTCTGAAATGTTAAATCGCTTACAGTTACTAACGAAAACAGGTCGATTGAAGCTGAAAGAGGTTTCTATTATCGCCATCCGTTCATCCCGTACTAGGCAACAGCAATGTAACAGGGAAGATAAAAGGGTTACACCCTAGCTATAATAAAACATCATCTCTATTATCATCTTCATCATGATCATCATCATGATCGTCATCATCATCATCATATCTTTATCATCATCATCTTCTTCATCATCATCATCATCATCATCATCATCATCATCATCATCATCATCTCCATCGTCATTTTTTTCTTCTTCTTCTTCTTCTTCTTCATCATCATCATTATCATCATCATCTTCATCATCATCATCATCATCATTATCATCATCATCATCATCATCATCACCATCGCCATGATCAAAACCATTGTCTCCGTCATAATTTCATCTTCGCGGCCGATTTCGTCTGTAATTAATTGACTTTCTGCTCGGCCAAATGAACAACGGCTGTTTGCAGTTGCCGTCCGCGCGGACAGAGCAGCGATACGCGCAGCGTTGAAAATTGCAAACACAAACCTCCGTTGCAATGTCGGTGATTCGAGTTGATTGAGCTCGTATTAAACAGCAGTCTTTGCAGTCGTATTAAACGCACGAGCGACAGCATCCCCGCGAATTCGACCAGCGGCGCATATTCCATACGCGAGTTTGCATATGTCGCGGCAAGCGATTAATTCAGTGTCTGGCCTGAGCGAAAGTATCCAGTACTCGCGAAGCTCGCACGCTGGTACTGTTTATTTTCAAAATAATTTTTCTTTTCTTACGTCCCGAAGCAGCCGCGGCGACCGAGCAGTCGTGAGGGATGTTTGCAGCTGCGAAGCGCGGTATTGTAAAAACAGAATCGTCGACATGTGCATGAGGTTGATGCGTTAGTCTGTGCACGGCAGGCAGGGTTCTCCCCCGCTCGGGCTCGCTGCCTCTCTCCTTACCTCACTTACTTCCTCCCTCTCTCTACCTCCCTCCCTTTCTCATCCCTCCCTCCCTCCCCTTGGGTGTGAATCTATCTATATATCTATCTACCTATCTATCTATCTATCTATCTATCTATCTATCTATCTAT